GCACAGATAGAATTATAGCACGAGATAAGTGACCTTTGTCAGCCCTCCAAAGAAGAATTTGCTTTTAGAGAGAAATTTGATGTAGACTTTATCATGTGGTAAAACACCTCTACATGAGGATAGTAAGCCAAGAAAGGCTGTTGTACATCAAATGGTCTGAAACTGCTCTTTAGTTCCTCTCCTGACACTTCATTGTTTTATTTTGTTTATTTTGATGAAGATTCAAAAGATTAAATGCTTACTATATCTTGCTAAAAATATTCAGTCCAGAGTCTAGGCAAAAAGTTGTCCAAAAATGTTAACGTTGGCTTATATCACCATTACAATTAAATAGTACAGTCAGAGAATGTAAAAAGGAGATGTGGTTTTTTGTCACATGTCTGATATCTTATATGCCATTAAAACATGAAGAGCCTTGCAACAGAGTGGTACAAAAATATATAATCTATCTGATGAATATTCTTTTTCCTTATTAGTGCATTGATCTTTACTATATAATGTGACACAATAATTTAGGTGATAATCCAGCAATTTCACAGATTTTATCTTCATTTTCTTTAGTATCTCTCTACTTGAATCACAGATTTCTGTAAATATTCTGTGTTTTCTATCCATGCCATTTAACTTAGGAGTTAGTGATCAAAGTGACACATAACTGTGTGGCTGTGCTCAAGCACACAAGGTTGAGACTGTTCCAGTCTGGTCCTGCAAAGATGGTCTTGCAGATTCTTAAGACAAATCTTGTAATTAAGAGTTAATGGTACAGAGATTGTTAGGAAAGTGTCTGCAAAGTGAATGCTATTTTTTAAAAAGGAATGACCTTTTACAACTAGAGAAGCCACACTGCAGGGATGGTGATTTCTGCAGTGATCTCTTTGTGCTGCTTCTCATCACGAAAGCTCAGATTTGGAATGTTAAAGAGGTTCCTGTGGTAATTTTTGTGTTTTGACAGGCATTTGCTACAAATAAAGTGACAGGAGAAACCTGAAAGAGAGAGAATAAAGATTTCCCACCTAATTCCTTCCAGCCCAGGGAACATTCAATAAATTGAAAAGTCAAGAACCAGGAACTTTTACCCAGAAACTTTTGTTAATGGTTTATATTCAATACCTGCCTCTGTGCCATACAATGCTGAAAGCTTTTGCATGACTGAGGTAACTGCATTACCTTTGCCATCACAGTAGATGCACTCTTCCTCCAATCCACACTGATACAATCAATCTTTTCCAAGTGTCAGTAGAAGAGTGATAGTCTCTTCATTATTATCTCATATTATCTCATATGTTTCCTATCCCTCAGCTCTCTCAATTAAACTACTCGTATGAAGATGCCAGGGTAGTTCCATTAGGTAGCTTGTTCTAAGGGGAGCTATCAATTCCACAACAAAAATCTGTCTCTTTAACTCAAATATTGGTGGTTTATAATTTAGATGCCTATCTCAGGCATCACATGTAAACCAAACATGAGCACTGTGGCATTTAGCTATGCTGTCTGTAGCCACTAAACTTCAACCTGACACGAGCAGAAACCAAAACACTGAACCACTCCAGTGCTGTCACCCATGGAGTGATTGGCAGAGCATGGACTTTGTTTTCTGCAGGCTTGCTACTCCTGCAGTCCTCCTCAGCATACCTCAGATTTGTAGGTAAAGCAGAAGAGGTTAACAGTATAAACTTGAGGGGTTTGGACTGCAACATATAAAAATTGAGTTAGGGTCTTTAAGTTATCAGAATAACTGGAGTTGAGGTGACATCATCTCTTTCAATGCAAAGACTCAAAGACACATGGACCTAGTAGACATGGTATCACAAGGCATCACCAAAGACAGAAATTGCTGAGCTAATAAACATCTACCAGGGCTGATAAGCATCTACCATCTAACGTCTTTCTACATTAGAAAGACACAACCTGGGTTTTGCAGCTGAGGAGGAGAAAACAAGATGACCTTGAGGATTTGGGATATTTGAGAGTGTCTTCTGAGACTATGCAAAATTAATGCAAGAAAGTATAAGGGGAAGAGATCTAGGGAAAACCAAAAGGTGGAATAGACCAAAGGCATATAAAAGGGGACTGCCACATGAAAATTGTTGCTGCCCTGTTAGTCTGTCCTTTAAAAAGCATTAAATACTTTTTAAACTACCTGTCTGTTTAGTAGCACTCTGTGCCCTGTGAGTGTGTGTGTGCGGTAAGGGCTAAGTGGCAGTTACTGATGAAACAGACCTTAGAGTGGATTTGGTGACAGCAACAGGACTCAGAGCAGGGTGTAGGTGCCCCTCGCCTCTGCTGCCAGCAAGTCAGAGCAAATAAGAACCTAATTACATCTTTCCTGAAATAATTTAAATAAAAGTTTGGAAATAATGTTTATGTTCTCAAAATATAAATATTATTTAAATAATAATTATTTAATTAATATGTAATACTTCTAAATATTGACTAATGAAGCATTAAACTCAGGAGAATACAGCTGTTTATATCATCACAGTATTCATTTGAATGAGATCACAATATATGTATCTAGAAGGGCATTAATTAGGCAGCATGTAATAGTTTACAAGACCTGCTAATATATGGGACTTCTGGGAGCTTTTTCAGATTGAAGCAATTGATTTTGTCACAGAGCCAAAATGTGGAGAGGAGTTGTAATATTTTTTTTCTCTTCCCGAATCATACCTGATAAATCTAGTGGTGGCCTTTCTTTTCTTACCCCCTGTTCAAATAAAACCTTAATTGCTCTGGCATCAAGGTTGGGCAACTTGGCTAGCTCTGAAAGATATCAGCTGTTTTTCTCATCCTTGCTGAACCTCTTTTAGACAAATTTTGCATTGTTTTTTGTGTCAGTTTTATCGTGGAACATCGTGCTGCCATCTGGAAAGAAAAACACCATGGTACAGGAGCAGCTGGTGAATGAGAATGGCCAAATAAATATTGGCACTCACTCTGCCATTAGGTGAGATAAGAGGATTGAGGCCGTGCCAAAAGAGACAGCCCAAACTGCTGCCATTATCCTTTGCTGTCCCCTGTCCCCTTATCTCTGTTTCAAAACACAGCTATCATTCATTTTAGAGGAGGGAAACCAAACCTATCAGGTGTTGGACATACCCTCCTGAAGCCTGGAAAACAGAGATATTCATGGTGAAAAGCATCTTGCAAATTTGCTGAATGACTGGATACTGTTATTCCTTTGGAAAAATAACAAGAACATTTCATATTTCTGTAATGCTTCCTGTCATAGAAGCACAAAACGCTTTAGATGTAAATTAGTTCTGTAGGTACTTTGAGGCTGAGTAAGGACATATTAGCTTCATTATCATACACAGGGAAGTTGAAACACAAAGAAATAAATACCTGATTTGATAGATATGGGTTAAGTACAGAGTTTGTGTTAATGCCAGGAATAAACTTTGATTCTAAACTGCTTTGCATTTTTATGTAGCAACAGAGGATTTTCCTTCCAGAGACTTGAGGCTAGAACAGAGATTTAGGGAGACTATGGACATACCCGACCTTAACCTTCAGAAACGCAAAGCATAATCACAGAATCATAGAATACCACATTGGAAGGGACCTCGAGAATCACCTGGTCCAACCTTTTTTGATAAAAGAACTGTCTAGACAAGATGCCTTGTCTAGCCAAATCTTAAAGTGTTGGGGAATCCACCCCCTATCGTGGGAGAATATTCCAATGGCTTTTTGTTCTCATTTTGAAAAGTTTTTTTTCTTGGGTTCATTAGAATCTCCCAGAAGTAACTTGTACCAATTATTCCTTGTCTTTTCTGTGTGACTCCTTTTATGAAAGAGAGTCTCCATCTTCTACGTAATCACCTTTTTAATACTGGAACACAGTGATGAGGTGTCCCCTAAGGCTTCTTTTCTCAAGGCTGAACAAACCCAGTTCTCTCAGCCCTTCCTGATATGGCAGGCTTCCCAGTCCTTGGATAATTTTCGTGGCCCTTCTCTGGACCCTCTCCAGTCTGTCCACTGTGGTTTTGCATAGTGGACCCCAAAGCTGCATGCAACATGTATGCATGCATGCATACATGGAGGAGAGTGGGATAGTGGCTTCTTTATCTCTGCTGGTGATGCCCTTATTGATGCAAGCCAGTATCCAGCTGCCCTTCTTTTCTGCAGCAGCACACTGTTCATTCACAGTGAGCTTGCTGCCCACTAGGACCTCCAGGTCCTTTGCCAGAGAGCTGCTTCCTAGCCTAGTAGATCCCTGCCTGTGCTAAACTCCTGTATTACATTTTCCCATGTGCCAGAACTTACTTTTGTCCTTGTTAAAGTTCTCAAGGTTCTTGCTAGCCTGCTGTTTCAGCCTACCCGGGTCTTCCCACAGAGTGGATGTGTCAGTCAATCCCCCACCCACCACACAGTGGCCATGGGAGACCATACCAAAAGCCTTGGAAAAATCCAGGTAGACAGAGTCCCCTGCTCCCCAACCAGGTTACTTTGTTGCAGAACACAATCAGGTTTGGCAAGCAGGATTTGCCCTTGGTGAACCCATTCTGTTTTTTCCTAATCACGTGTTTCAACTGACTTGTGATAGGATCCAGGAGGATTTGTTCCATAACTTTACCAAGGACTGAAGTAAGACTGATAGGCATATGACTTGCTGGATCTTTCTTTAATCTCTGATACAGAGTTGTATTCTTATTTACTTGCTGGAGGGCTGATTCAGCGTTTCAGGATTCCCTTATTTTCAGACACACATCAAGGTAGTGGGCAGAGAGCTATATTCAGCTATTCATAACACAAACTTTTTATAAGGTAGAAAGGCTGACCTAAATCTGATTCTTAACTCTTAGACAGTGAGTATCAATAAATTTCTCATTTGAAATCAGAGTATGTTAGCTCAAATTTGCAGTTTGGATCAGTTGAGAATCCAGTTACATTTGGTACAGACTGGACACATACAGACTTGCAGTCGTTAAGAGGGCCTAAAATTTCCCATAAGATAATAGTTCTGGGAAGCTTGACTTAAAATGTTATTTCTTTTTTCATAATTAGCGTGATTGGTTATGAGACAAAAGGCTGGAAATTTGAAAGTGAGAAGTTAAGGATGAATTATTCCTTATCATTATGTCTGTCTTGCTGTATCCAATAAAAACCCAGTTGTCCATGCAAATTTGTCTGCCAATAGTCTTTACTCACTGATGGTTGTTTGGAGGAGAGTTTAGTAATCTCAATACACTTCCCAGTGATAACAGCTGCCTTCCTCACAAAATCCCATATGGTGCTAACTGGCATGCCTGTCAGTTCTAGTAAGGCTAACATCATGGTGTTAGCATTGCCTTTGCTTTGCAAAGAACACCGTTGCTGAGGTACACTAGTGAGGCCTTCTAGAGCAAGCAAAAAACAAATTACCCTAAAACACTTGCTCTGACATAACACCTTTCACTATTATAGAAGTATAAACAAAGACTAGTCCAATCAAAAATCATGCTTTCTATGATTATATGTTTAACAAACATATTATGTTTTCTACAGATTATGTTTTTACAAACATATTATGTTTTTGTTTAACAAACAAAAATCACGTTTTCTATGCAACTGCAAAAGACCAAACAGCCACAATTCATGAGCTTTTAGCAGCAGAGAAAGCCACCATCACCTCTGATCTCAGCAGTAACACAGGCCACAAAACTTCTCATAATCTATATGGACTGGAAGCAAACCAGTCAGTTATTCAATCAGGGAAACAAAACAAGCCTTGCTTCCTTCACAGTCTGTGCTACTCATATGCAGCCTGCCCCCTTCTCAGCTCCTTCCACTTCCCATGGTATTTGTTTATCCCATTCCCTACTGATCTCCTTCTGAGAAATTCTACTGGCCACATCCATTAATGTTTTTTAAGCTCCCTGTAAGTGTTCTTTGTTTAGCTGTCAATAGTCTCTACAATGGGCTGGATTCTGCCTGCCTGTCTCTCAGGGGATGCACTGGTTTAGATCTCTTTACTGCTATATTCAGATGCATGACTTTGTGCCATTATGTCTTTACAAAGTTGCTGGAAGAAGAAAACTTTGCAGAAGGATGCAGCGTGTTGTCACATCAGCCCTGTTTCTTTAGAAAGCTAAACTACTTACCAAGCATCAACAGCTTTGGGGGAAGTCACTGTCATGGAGAGTGTGCACCCAGACCCACAAGATATGAACATCAGGCAATGTTTTTAGAGTGACCAACTGCCCTGTTGTACCATCCTTACCCCAGAGGACTTGTTCTACATTTGCTATTATCCCAGGACAGCTTCTGTACACCATGGAAAATGCTGATATTGCCAGCTCTTAATTTTCCACCAAAAGTTTAAAAATAAAAATAAAAATAAATTGGACAGTGAAAGATGCAAAATATAATTAAAGATGTTTTAAGTTAATTTGTTCAAATTTTAAAAAATACTTTAAATAACTGATTTGATTCTCCCCACACATTTGCAAATCAACATTACAGGTGTTTTACAATTCTCTTAGCAAAAACTTCAAATCCAAATTGTAAAACACTTAAAACCTTTACAAACAAACAAACAAACATAAAAATCAAAGACATGCTGGTGATTGAGGGGGTGCCACATTCCAAGAGTAAATTCTGAATTATAGTAGGCTGATTTTTGGTCGGAATTACTCAGAGAGTTACTAGTTACTATAATATCTAAAACATACTTGTTCCCCACAACAGAAATCACGTCAGTGTCATGCTTTTATGCTCTAGCACCATTAAACTATATAATTTCAGATCCTAAAAGTAATTTATCAGTTTAGTATTACACCTAGATTAATTAGGCTTAATAATGTTAGTAATAAATGTAATACCTTTGTAATAAATCTTATCCTAATATAATCTAATTTTTGGTATAATATTAACTGCAGCCTCTTCTAGTAAATATTTTGGGTTCAGTCATATAGAAAATGTGATGTTAACTAGCAGTGACCAAGAAAGATGATTTGCATTTTGAACCCTTAAAAGCTAGTTTATTTGGGGGCTAGTTTCCTTTCCCCCCCCCAGGTTTTTTACTACAGAGTTGTAAATTCTGAAATTTCGCTTTGCAGGAATACTACGTAGTTTACATGACTGAGCAAATGTTTGAAACTTCCCTTCCAGTGTCTGACTGAACTTAGTAACTCAATGAAAACAGAACCAGAATGGTGACTCAGCAAAACGCATGTAAAGTTCACAAAAACAGAAACACTTCTGAACACAACTGAATATATTTCTATTGTGATGAGGACATCTTCACCATATGGTGCAACAGCACCAGACCACAGGACAGAGGGCAGGGTTATAAGGATGCTAAACTCTTGGATAAATATGGCTCTGGGCTTTCAGATTATATAAGACAAAAAACTTGATGAAGATGCTAGCCAGCAGCATTTATCATGTTCCCCAGCTGCAACACCAGTCTTCTACCCAGAATAACAGACCTGACTGGTTTCTGTGCTTGGCCTGTGAGAAATGACTAACAGTGAGATACGCTGCAAAAATGTAAAGCACAGTTGCAATGGTTGCAAAGTATCGTGTGGAGGCCAAAAGAAGGAATTTATGCTTCTCATGCAAGACATGGGATTGAAAGGGCATCCACAAATATAAAAGAGTACTTAGAAGGCATGAGGTACTGAGGATGCTATTTCTCTTTGACACAAATATTCTGGATTATTCTAGACAAATCATCATCTCTCCATGTTTAGTCTCGACATCTGTAGCGCAACAGTGGTCTCAGTAATAATCTTGATGAAATGCTGTGGATCAAAATGCTTTGAGATAATTTATTTTTTTGTTTGTTTTGGTTTTTTTTTGCTAATGAGAGCAGTATGCAAGACCTATGTTTTCCTCTTGGTTTTCATACAAACAATTCAGTGCATGTTATGATAAAATTGTTCTTACAATTGTTCTCTGGTGAGGCTGCAATCTGCTTTTCCTACCAATTGTTTATCACAACTCTAGCAATTAATCCTATGGACAGGTTTTATTAAGAAAACACTAAACTTAGTTTTAGGTATTTTAAATCTAAAGATTTTTAATGGGAAACAAAAATAAAGAGCCATCACTGTGTAACAGTCTCTCCCAGGCCAAATCTTGTCAACCAGTCATCTGGAAAAAATAAAAATTTTTAAAATTCTTGCTCTAGGTTTTGTCATGGCAGAAGATTCAGAGACTCCACTATCTCCATACAGTAACTGAAAGTTGCCTTACTAATCCTGAGATAAGATAAGTCATTCTGGTGCAAAGAAGACATTTAAAAATTATTATTTAAAATTAAGACCTGAAAATGCAGCCAATGTGGAGCCACTGGAATCTGCTTTGTATTGTTCTCTTTTATTTTCTGGAGATATCCTCCACAGAGAGGAGAGGAATTGATGCATCAGATGAAATAAATAATAATATGGAGTAACAAACTAATTTCTGTAAGTAAAATGACTTATTTGTAAAGAACAACAGTAGTCTGCCCTTCCACAAGGGTTGAACTGAGGTCTTTGCCTCATCTGGTTGTTTCACCATGAAGATGCCACAACTGCATTTTCTTGGGTTCCTGCGCACTTTATGCTATATATTGGACCTATATACTGCTACTGCTTCTGGAATAATCTTGTATAAGTGGGTAAAAATGCTGCAGCAGCACAGAAATCATATACTTTTGCAGCCTGCAAAAGTACCTAAACAAACCAGACAGATAAATACAGAGAAGTGTTCCTTCAGAAGATGTGCATACTACTCAGCCTTCTCAGTAGCAAGACAGGCTTCTTGAGCTTATATACGTTCTCAAATACAGTGTTTAAATGGCCATAATAATATCCTGCCAGTAGGAGCTGATGTGTTATATTCTTTTTGTCCACGAGATGTCAATGCACCCTAAGAATTCTAGGCTACATGGCTTCGTGTCTGTAACATAAAGCCTGCCTGTGCCACAGCCATGATTCTTATTGGGATTAGCAAATCTCACTGCAAAATTAACAACAACAGTAATAATAACAACTATGACAGAGATCATTCTGTCCAACAGAAAGAATCCTTGGTAAGGGTGCATTAATTCATTAATTTCTTAGGCCACACAGTCTCCTTCTTGTTCTGGATAGACACCTGAGGAGAGTGGGCAAAATACATCAGGATGTGGTGGTGAGGAGAGCATACATGCCAGAGGGAGAAGCAAAGTCTGTTAACTTAGGCATTGTGCCTATTAGCTTGAACTCCCAAATGGGAGCCGCTCAACATCTGACTTGCTCAGAGTGTGGGTGGAATAGGTCTATATGTTATCAACAGCTGTCCGTGTTTACTGATGCATTAGAGTACTAAAAAGGATTAGAATTATATTTATGGAAATTCACATTATTGGCTGTCTTTACTAAATATTTAAATTTTCTGTAATTTACATAAGCACATCATTGGAATAACATGAATGCATTGAAGAAAATTAACTAGTTAAGGAATAGAAGCTGTTCCTCCTGATTATAAAGAAATACTGAGCTCTTCAGATGATAGGCATTTGACATATGCTATTTTTTACTGTCTTGCACCTTTTTAATACATGCTGCAAACATAAATAAAGAATTAAATATACCTGCCTGATACCTGAAGCCACCAATACAGCCTAGATGGGTTGGTGTGGTCCTTACTTGCCCTGTTTTAGAGTTAGTTGGGGTGGCACAAAAGGCCTACTTTAGAATGAATTTTGATGTATGTCAGCAAGACCTAAGAGTGGGGATTGATGTATCTGGGAAGGGAGACGCCAGGGTGGGTACTTCCCTGGCATTCTTCCAGGGAAGAAGCAGCCAACATTTATGAATGGGTTTCAGTAATGCAATAACTGCTGCCAGTTTGCTAGAAGCCAGGTTTTGCCAAATGCCCGTTCATTTTTTCCATAGACCTATAATATTTTCTTTCAAAAGAGTAGGATGGAAAATTAATTGACTTTTTTTTTTTTTTAACAGAGAAGCTAAACTTGTTCTTTCTTGCATATTTTAGAAAAGTATATGGTTATTTATGATAAATTTTAAGTAGTGCAAATTACAATTCATGCACTGCTATTTTCTCGTATTCTAAGAAGACTTATTCCTTCTATTATATTTATTTATTATATTATAAGACTTATTCCTTCTATAAATATTTTCTGAAATAAAAAAAAATAAAACAACATAAAATAAGTTAATATCAGTTTTATGTAATCTCTTTGGGTTTTGGGTGTCTAATACATGATGTCTTGATTATGCTTTCATTGGCATAAATCTGGCTTAAAATTCATTAATATTTCATTTTCTGCTAATTAGCAAAGCTTTATTGGGGGGGCTTTTTTTTTTAGTCTGAAGTAAATTTAACCAACTGAATGGCAATACCAACAAAAGCTTAAAAATTAACTGTATTTTATTGTATAATTACACTGTCAATTAAGGAGGAAGAGTTAATATCCTTGCCTACAAACATAAGTGAGAGAAATACAGCTGGATGTGATATGTAGTAAAATACATCTCTTTTTTCTGATTTCAAAAAAATGGCATCCCCTACGAAGAGTTCAGCAAAAGGTATGTTCATGGGATCCAGTGTTCTTAATGCCAGGCTTCCACCTGTGGGACCTGAGACCCTACAGGTGTTTGAGTCAAACTTTTAACTGTTCTCTACAGGCTGGTAGCTGCAATCTGTAAGGTGTTACTAAGTATGAAAACCTGAGTTCTATAAAGGGTGATAATATTATATTCCAACCCTGCAATGTGTTGTTATTGGGGTTTTTTTTCCCTGTCTGGTCCTTTTAGCCATACGTGTAACAGAGACAGTGCTACCTATGAACTCATACCCTACTCACCTTCCTGGCATTTCATGGTTGTGCCAAAGCCAAAGGGCCTAAAAGTCCAGATGAATTTCTTTTCTTTTGAGCTGAAATGGCAGAAGATCTGTCTAATAGAACATAACAGAAAATGAGCAGAGTGAGAATTTGAGACTATGAAATAGGAATCAAACATTATCTTTTGACTGTTGCATAGCATTTAAATCAGCAGTACATTGATCTCTCCTAACTCAGATCCAGCTCTGGCAATCTCTGTACTCGATCTCATCTCTTTCTCACTCTTGGTGTCCAGGAATATTTCTGACAAGTCACCATAATAATAAAACATCCTTTTTCTTTTCTTTCTTTCGTGGTTGTTGTTATTCTTGCTTTTGTTACTTTGATAAGTGATGAAATAACAATGTGCTGTCCTTCAAAAAACTTTTTGTCCTATATGAGGTAAGAGCAAATGGGACAGTTAATCTCTCAGGGCTGGGGTTCCAAGCTTTAAGCAATACAAGCACTTCTGCATCTCTAATACTCCCTTCACATTTTGATGATCTTCATGAAGACCACAACTTTTGGAGGATTTTCTTCTTTAAGTGAAAACTGTGTCTAAATAAGAGTTTTAAAACCAGGGGTTTTTTTCTTAATCTCATAAAATTATTTTGTTTCTCATGTGTGTGCCTTCCTTGCACTTTTGCAAATAAAAAGGGAGGTGAGGTAGTAGTTTATGAGCTTCAAGTGGAAAAAAATCTGTGTTCAATGGGGAAGATATCTGAGAAGTCACATAGCAACTGAATTAAATTGCTTTTTCAAGCAAAGTATAATACACCCAAAATGAGAAGCAGAGTAAAATCTACATTCATGCACCCACTAGCCTATATGTGGCCTCCTCTCAGCAAGAGAGCAATCTTTAAGGAAGTTTTAAGGATGTTGTTTTCATAGGACAGTGAAAGACAAGGATAGCTTGAAACTCCTTTTAGACTGCTCGATAGGGTAGAGGTATACATGATTTCACTTCCTTCCTGCAATTAATCAGTAAGACATTTTTTATTTAACAAAATGACCTTCTATATGCAACTTCTGAATTTGTGGCAATTATAATGGTTATTCATTTCCACCGGACTGGTAAGACAGATCAATAGACAACATTTTGACCTGAGGTTTGTGAGATGCAGACTTTGTGTCTGTACTGTGTGAGACCTCAAACAAATCATTTTGGTATAGATATATTCAAAAATACCTAGCCATACCTATTGACTGTAGTTTATTTTTTCAGGTGACTGACAACAGCAGTGGATCTTGAAATAGCAGTTTTTATGACCAGATTAGGGCATGGGAATGTCTAAGCAAATGTAGAGTTCTCTATCCCAACAATTTTCTGGATTTTCTATGGCAAACAAAGATAAATGGGCAGTGAAGAGTGTGATCCATCTGTTCTTCAAGCAGATGATTCATGCCCTGAAACTGTCTGTTACGCTCCATTGACTAATAAGGACCTTCAGCCTTCAGTATGGTCACCTGTATTTTGATAAGAGGCTGTGGAAAGTAGGTCTGAAATTTCGTGTGGCTCCTGGAACACCCGGATAGTCACCTTAAAAGTACACAGTGTGTCACCTAACTGCTTTAATTCTTGGTTTGTTACAGTCAACAAGGCTGTCAGCAGCTGTCTGAAGCTTCATAGCTTTACAAGTTTGCTCTGAAGACGTAAGAAAAGGGTGATTATCATGTTCATAGCCACCCTTGAGACCGTTCTTACAGAACGTGCAGAATATAGCACTTCTGTATGTCATTAAAGCATTGAGGAGAAATACCCAAAAGATTGTGAGGAGCTTAGCTACTATAGTGTGGCAGGCCATATAAGGGCCAGCTGAGATAGATAAAGCCTGATGTTTGGAATTAATGTGGTTTTGTACATCATGATCTTCTCATAGTATTGCCTGCCAAGTGTACTACAAAAGCATTTTAAGTACCGGGGCATTAGAAAGTCATTCTGGAAGCAGCTAAATTGTTACTGATCATATATACATCCTGAGAATTAAATATTTTTTCCATTTTAGGGATTTCTCTTGTTTGTTTTCTTGAAGTTTTTTCCAACCTCCTCCCCAGCATAATCTTTTTTCACTAAAATTTTTCAGATTAACAGAAAACTGTTTAGCATGTAAATAGTGATCCAGAACCATTAGTAAACATCTGTTAAATTAGGCAAGAGCCAGGAAAAACTTCAGCTGGATTACAATTGTTCTTGAGAGAGTTTGCAAGGGAGTGAGAAAGCACACAGAGCACAAGAGCTGGCTAGAGCCTGTTCACATTTGGTTTCTTTCTCCTCCCCCACCCCTGGAACATTACTAATAGAAGGAAGCAAATGGCTGAGGCTGTTGTATCCCAAGGTGTGTAATGCCCTGCGGGTGGGTAAGACGACTAACTTGTGTTCCATCCTTCCCATACTTTGTTGTTTTGTGTAGTGCATAGATATGAAGAGTGTTATGGGGAGCACAGTAGCTGATGCTTCTGCATGTTTTGAAAAAGTGCCCCATTAACATATTTCCTGCTCCAAAGGGGCAGCACTAGAAACTGCTCTTATCTCTATAGAAGGAAGCTATTAATATTTAGAGTTTTGGGAATCAAGTTTTGGAAAATCCTTCCTCTGAAATTAAATATGTTTCTACCTCCAGCTGTCTATCCCATTTTTCTGCCAGGAGTTACCACAGAGTCAGTAGAGGGGAACATGTGCAGCACTTCCGCTGAAAACACTCAGTGTCCTTGGATAAACCATTGTGGAAGACAGATGTCATCTGGCACCATCTAGATGGAGTAGTTAAGATTTAGATATGTTATTTCTGCTAATTTAGATCCAGGAACTGTAACCTTTGGCTGGGGTAGACAGATACCAGTAATGTCTTAACTCTAATGCAGCTGAACTATTACAGCTCCGACCAACTCGAACTTTCAGTAACGGAAACTACCATGAAATCTCCATACACTCATGCATAGAGCCTTAAATGGTATTTGCTTTCATAATGGCACAGTGTCTATCCAAGTGTGAAATCTGAATGAAGCTATTGCAATATAAACTGGGAGCGCTTAGCTGTTCATTCAGAGGAGCTGGGGCAGAATGCTATCAGTCTGGCTGAATCTGTTCACATGGAGTTGCCATCTGTTATCACAATGCCATGTTGCCCAATTAAAACAATATGACTGGATTACAGTATTTTGAGTAGTATTATTTGCTAGATTGTCTCTGATTCTAAAAAATCTATCATTCCATCTGACTGCCTCTGCACCTGCTAATTCACACAGTGTAAAGAAATTGCAAGCTTCTCATTTACTAACTGCATGGCTGTAAGCTACTTCTGAGCCTGAAAATATTTCTGCATTTTAAACTTTTTCTGACTTCATCCAGTAGTCATTCCTCCATTTTCTGAGGAAGTGTGTATATTTGGTATGAGAAAAACTGCTGCAGAACTTCTGTATATATGTGGCCAGTGGTTACTAAGGATATAAGTTAATTAGGGTAGATTAAAATCTCATTTTAAAAATAATTATTTTTACTTTTAAATGAGAGTTTTAGATGTAATGTTCTTCACTTCTTTCCTGGTTTGGACTCCTAAATTGATAATTATTAATGTCTTTTATTAATACCTTTAAGTGATTATGGCAGAATTTCTGACTTTACAGAGTTCTACATACATAATCTTTTCAGTAGCATGCAGATGAACATGCATTTTTGGGGTTAGTTGAGCTTCCATTTTTCTGTTTTATTCTGTAAAAGACAAGTATTATCAAATGCAAAATGGATACTATTAACTGAAATCACTCTTCTTAGGAATAAAAACAACTATTGACAGGAGAATTAACATGATGAGTAAGAGAGTCAGGGAAGCCTATTCATCAAATACACTGTTATTTTAGATCTCTGAAGCACAACCATTTTACTTAAATAAAATGTCCAGTTTGACCAAAACTTAAACCAATGCTGTACAAAAAGCCTTTCAAAATGTGCTTTAGAACTTTACATTTTTCCTTACAAAACTCTTAATCTAAGGAAGCTAGAACACTTAACAAGTTGGATTTCTAAGTTGCTATCTATTCCTGTATGACACCATGAACAACATAAACCAACTTGAATCCTTACCCAATTTAAGCACACTTGCTCATTGTAGTGTAGTCTATGGCTACTGATGGGTCCCTAAAGTACTGCAATAGTCACTCTTGGGCCAAGCACAGGGATGGATTGCATACCCTCTTCTGTGATTCTGAAGGTATATTCCGTATCATACAAAATGTGTCAATACTGCTGTTGTAATTAATGGAGGTGGCCATGGCATTCACTTTCACAGAAACAAAGTATCACTGAATATCCTGAGTTGGAAGGGACCCTTAAGGATCATCAAGTTCAACTCCTAACCCTGCACAGCATCATCCCCAAGAGCCACACTATGTGTCTGAGAAACTTGTTCAAAACCTTCTTGAGCTCTGTCAGGTTTGGGGCTGTGACCACTTACCTGGGGAGTCTGTTCCAGTGCCCAAACACCCTCTGGGTGAAGAACATTTTTCTAATATCCAAACAAAATCTCCCTTGACACAACTTGAGACCATTCCCTCAATCCTGTCAATGGTCACCCCAGCAAAGAGACCAGTGGCTGCCCCTCTGCTTCCACTCACAGGAAGTTGTAGACTGCAATGAGGTCTCCCCTTCTGTGGGCTGAACAGACCAGCTGACCTCAGCTTCTCCTCATACAGCTGCTGCTCAAAGCCTTCCCCATCTTTGTTTCTCTCCTTTGGGTACTATCTCATAGTTTCATGTCTTTCTTATACTGTGGCACCCAAAACTGCCCCCGGCACTGGAGGTGAGGCTGCCCTCAGTGCAGAGCAGAGGGGACAGTTCCCTCCCTTGCCTGGCTGTGATGCTGTGCCTGATGCACCCCAGGACACAGGTGGCCCTCCTGGCTGCCAGGCCAGTGCTGACTCAAATTCAACTTTCCATCAACCAGGACCCCCAGGTTCCTTTCTGTGGCACGGTTTCCCAGCCTCTCATTCCCCAGTTTGTCCATGCATCCAGGGCTGCTCATTCCAGGTGCAGAATCCAGCACTTTCCCTTGTATTTCATACCATTGGTGGTTGCTGAGTCACCTAATTTGTTTAGGTCTCTCTGTAGGGCCTCCCTGTCTTTGAGGGAGTCAACAGATCCTCCCAGTTTTGTATTATCTGTGAATTTGCTTAGTATCACTTCTAGTCCTGCATCCAGGCCATTAATGAAGATGTTGAAGAGCAAAAGGCCTAGGGTACAACCCTACTAGTGACAGGTCACCAGTCTGATGTCACGCCCTTCACTATAACCCTTTGCACTTGGCATGTGAGCCAGTTGCTCACCCATGACATGATGTGTTTATCCAGCTGTGCGCTGGACATTTTATCCAAAAGAATACTCCAAGAGACAGTATCAAAAGCTTTACTTAAATCAAAAAAGACTACATCAGCTGCCTTCCCTTGATCAGCGAGGTGGGTTACCTTGTCATAAAAGGAAATTAGCTTTGATAAGCAGGTCTTTCTTCTCATGAAACCATGCTGGCTGTGACCAATGAACACTTTCAGGTGTTTTTCAATACCTCCCAGAATAACCTTCTTCATAACCTCTTCGGGCACTGAAGTGAGACTGACAGGTCTGTAGTTTCTGGGCTTCTCATTCTTGACCTTCTTGAAAATCAGGATGTTTGCCAGCTTCCAGTTAGCTGGGACCACTCTGAATTCCCAAGGCTCCTGAAAAATCATTGAGAAAGGTTTTGCAATTCCATCAGCAAGCTATTTGAGGACTCTTGGATGAGCCCCATTAGGCCCCATTGATTTTTAGGAATCTAGCTGAAGCAGCAGATCCCACACAATTTCAGGGTTGACTGGGAGTTAATGATTCTTGCAGTCATGATCTGCCAGCTCTGAAAGCCCCTTGGTCCATCATTCATAAGAAAACAAAGGCAAAGAATTAAACACCTCTGCTTTGTCCTAGTCCCTGTTTGTGGGGTGACCATCTTCATCTTGTAATGGGACAATGCTATTTTTACACTGCCTATTGCCACTAATACACTTGAAACACTTATTTTTATTGTTTCCCACAGCTCTGACCAGCTTCAACTTCAGCTGAGCTTTGGCCACATGAATTTTCTCTGCACAGTGTTAAGCAGTGAATCTACTCTGCATCCTGCTATACTTCTGTTTTTGTTCTCTGTCACATCCAGAGATTCCCAGTTACTCGTGGTTTTATAGCACTGAGAGGGAAAGGAACCAAAGGTGGGTCATGCTCTACTTCTCTTTCTCTGTCCATCAGCACTCCTTTAGAGCTGACACATACATGGGATATATGAGTCTCAGATAAGGACTGAACAAGAAAGAGGGACTGGATAAAGTATTCTTTTGCTTCCAGTGTCATGTAGCACCCACTTTGCTCTGAAATCATCCCCAGACAATTTTGACCTCCAGCAAAGTACTTATATGCTCAGATTAGTAAGGCATGAGAAATATCCCAATTCATGTTTTTTTTTTTCTAAACCCCACTGACCTTTTACTCAAAACATTTAGGATTAAAATACTCAGTGGTAATACAAACTTTGTATTCTGAAAGAATTCACATGGTGTCACCAACCACTAGTCTACGACAGTATTTAAGCCTTGTTTACCTATGTTTTATTTTTAGGATGCAACCTTTTTGTGGTTTCTTTCCACTAGTATTTTCCCAGTATCCCATCAGCACAGACCTGCAATTTGGTTTTGAGGATTCTAAACAAAAAATAAGCAACGAGTCTCTGAATGACAAGTCTGGAGTGAAACCTGAGTCCTGAATTTCATGCCTGCTTATAGATGCTTTGGTTAACTTTTGCCTCAAGATTTTTTTCTTTTTTTAATTTTATTTTGCATCCTAGTTTACAACTAGACCATTGCATCCTAGTGAATACTAAAGGTTCACAGGGGCTTTTAAACCTGTGTCAAAAATAATTTAATATTTTTAATTACATTTCCCCTTTGCAGAAAACACCCTGTATTTGCTCAACCTTTATAAACCACCTTTAGTTCCAGAAAAGGTTTGACAAAAAGCTAATTTCTAGATCTAGAAACAAACACAAAGAGCAAAGCCAATAATGTGCAGCTTTGTTTTAATTTTGGATCTTGATTGTGTTTTGTTCATCCAAAAGGTATCAGGCATGAAAAGTAGGACTGGAAACACCATTTTCATGGCCAACAGACCTCTGACATCATGGGCACATCTTTTAAGCACACTGTATCTAAGCAAAAATCCCTGTCTGAGATAAAGCTTTTCATCTGGTATCTCCTTTATGGGTCCTGTTTTATTCGCCGGTAGTCCTAAATATTTTCTGAGGCTCTCAGCCTAATTAACTTGAAATGGTTTGGTTGATTATGTTGATTGCAACATTAACCTTTGAAACATATAAGTGTTTTTGAAAAGTCCATGATGGCCTATCTAGACAAAATTAGTCCAGCCCTTTGGTCAAAATGGTGAGGCTTTGAATATTTCTTAAGGGCAAATTCAACTTTGATTTCAGAACATACTTTCTAAAACATATGAGTAGCTGTTCATAGAGCTGCTAATAAGGCTTAATTATTTAAATAGTGAAAAAGAGTGCAGCTCTGTATGACTTTCAGTACAATAAACATGACAAAGTAAGTCAAAATTGAAGAACAGTAAACTTAGTCAGTTTTGGGTTCTGGTCACACTCTCCTACTCACACATGAGATAATTTGCCCTGTCACCTACATAAGCTTCCTGGACATCCTAGCATTCTGTGAAACCCATAGTAATTGCCCTCTAAGCACCTCTGCTCCACAGAGGTCTACCTTTTATATGTCCCATTTACATTTTTTGAAGTCTTATTTCAATTCTACTTTCTTCCATCTAAGCAAAAACACAATGTACTTGAATTTTCCTCAGAAAATTATATAAATTTTCAGTCATCTCATGTCCATCATTTTGCTTCTTCATTTAAAAAAATATTTATGGCTTAACTGAAAATACAAAAACACCGAAGAAAACTAGTAGTTGTATGATGAGGTAAATGTGAACTGCTTAATATACTTTATCTACTTGACACCAGTTATGGTTTACAGCATTTTAGAGGTCTGTCTTCTCTATTCTCATCATCAGAATTGAAAAATGTTTAGCTTGCAGTGCTATACAAGCACCTGAAATGCATTCAATCCCTTTCCTTATTGTCCCCACTAACCATGAGGAGATATAATTGCTTATAAGCCACATACTGATATGTCAAAAGCATTTCTCTTGTAGTAAGTCAAGATAGAACAAGCTGCAAAGAAATAGATTTTCAATATCATACAAAAATGACAAGGTATTGAAAAGTGGTTAGAGACTTCAGTAGCTCACTATGAATTAGACACTATTTTAATAACATGTGAATGATGTCACTGACTCATCACTTTAAAGTTACATAATATCTGGCACTTATACAAAACCCATACCTTCTGGATTTAAATGTCATCAATGAGAATCTCAGGTTCCTGTTGAAAATAAGGAGTTCTGAGCCTGCATGGCTGCACAGAAAAAGTTTAAACCAAATTACCACAGAAGCCAAATGACAAAAATCTATTTATTCATCTGCATCTTAGTGCCATAATAATTAGGCTAATGTCAAAGTGTCTGTGAATCTCCATCTTGATTTTTTCAGTGAACTGTGACTTTTAAAGGCCCTTCTAGAGAAAGAATCTTCCAGTCTTCATGGTAGGCAACAGTGGACTTAATGTTCTTCCCTTATTCCCATGTTCACTAGTGACATGGGAATTAAATATACTCTTTAGGCCTATCAGCAACATCTGAAATATGGTGTTAGAAAATTATTGGAAAAAAACAGAAGTCATAAACCCCTATCTTAAACCTATAGATTAAAATCAAATGCGCTGCATATATGGGAAAAAATGTCTTCTTATTATTCCAATTTTCTTCCAAATTTGCAATCCTCTCCCAAAGTATTAGGAGATTTTCTTAGCGAAAATCAGTGTGACTGGCTAACAAATCTATCTTAAAATCTGTAAGAAAATTGATGCATTGCTGCTGTAAATGGAAAACAGTAATAGCAGTTTAAAAGGGCTTAAAATACTCAAGTGCCAAATCTTGAAAGTATATCGACAATCATCATGTAAGGATATGAGAATTTTAAGGAAAATCAGATAGCTTAAGAAAAAGAAATTAAAACTGATTTTGCTTATTTGAGCAGCTTTAAAGCCTCTGTGAACAATGTTTAGGCTTCTTGCTCTCTGTCAGGCAAGAGCAAGCAACAGTAAAAAAGTTGTTTTGTCTATTTACTATTTTGAAATCTAAGCTTAGGGCAAGAGCTATATAAGTGTAACTTACAATAAGGAACAACAAAATCTCTCTTTACTTTAAGAATAGCTTAATGACAGGCATGGACTTCTACCGTGGCTCTGGCAAAGCAGTCACTGCTGCCAGTCACTGAGCACAGTGTCATCGGTACAGGATGACTCATTAGGGCGCTGGAGGAGTGGAAGGAATACACCTAGTGGTGCAGGTCTCTAGCAGGATTTTGGCTGACCCTTGGGAAAGAAGAGCTTTCTAGATGTGTTAATTCCATGTTGGGCAGTTTGGAGTAGGTTTGTGAGGGGGAAGACGGAAGGGAAGCTATAACTGAAACACTAAGACAAACATAATTTAACAGTACTAGTAAACACGGCACTTATAGTTCCTATCATCATCCTTCCTCAATGTAGGAGGGAAAAGTAATCCTTTTAGGAGTTTATTTGCATCCCTCTGCAGACTGTCCTGAGCTGTCCTCTGCCCTTCCTTACTGAAACAGCATCACAGGTCACTCCTAAGCATAACTGCTCTATAATGGATGGAATTAACACCCCAACACTAAACTAGAATCCAGTTTTGGGAGAGACAAAGAAAAGAACAGACAAGGAGAGAAAGAAACCAAGACTAAAACTCCCCTTTCACACATAGGTACAGACTAACCTGATACTTAGAGAAAATCATCAATGAGCTAGCTGCTTGTTCCATGAGAAAGCTGGCTCATTAATTAAAACAGTATCTTCACCTGTGACAGCACAAAGTCAAAACAGAGGTGTCCAGCTCAGCAGGTAGGGAGACCTGATCAGTATCAGCCTATTTCTGTACAGAATCAGGACAGAAGAGAAAGGAAGGATGTGCCAAGTTGCAAAATGGGACTGAAAATGCACTTTTGACCAATAGCACATTCTTCAAAACAGTAACCTTTTCTCCATATTGAAACGTTATCCACAAATGACCATTGCCACTGTTATTATTTTTCTCATAATAAATTAACAATTGGAAGCACAGCTTCAGAAAATTTATTTGCAGACTCTATGAATCTTTGAAACTAGATTGGCCTTGAATTAGTTATGAATACAAAACTCAGCTGCCATTAGAAGAACCTTAAGGAAAATCATCGTGTAAGTTTTGAGCAAGTATGGTTCTGTTTAGAGAGTTTTATCAAAACCACATGAAACCATGTGACACCCAATGTCTTTCTTGGTGTTTTCCTTGAATATTGAGTTAATTTAAGCCCTGAGTAAAAAAGAGATCACAAGACTTGGATCTTTTGGATCTGCACAAAGTGACATTTACTCTAGTGGGCCTTGGAGTCAAAGTGGGTGAGTCCCATGCTCAATGAAGTTCAGTAATTATGGTGAGTCAGTTTGCATGTGAACAATCAAAAGCCCCCATGCTATTTCACTGACAGGAACTGAAGACATGTTTGTGTTTATTTTGCTAGGTACAGCCAGACTTCTGGCATAAGAAACTAGAAAAAACTAGAAATACAAGGCATATAGTAGCCCAACCTAGCTGGAGGCTGCCTGCATCAGCCTGGTGCCCCACCTAAGCTGGCAAACCTTGACCATACCCAGCTGGTCTGTACAAAATAAATGTGTCTACTACCTTCAGGCATTTCTTCATCTTTTCTAACCACACTTGCCTCTGGCAAAAGGAAATGAGCTTTTGTGTTTTCTTAGGCAAGTCACAAAGACCCTCTTGTCCTAAACTATCTCTATGAAATGAAAAAAATCGTCTTTATCAAAGTGCTTTGAGATCTGTGAGTGAGCGGTGTTATATCATTGAAATGCATCATTGATTGAAATGAATCATTGATTATAAAATAAATCTGCAGTGCTGCTAATTGAAATTGTATAATCAGAAGGGCTTTTAAAAGTCTGTTCACCCTTCAAATGAATATGGAACTTCTGTAGTATGTTGTGACTAGTTCATAGCAAATAAAATATTTGCTGTTTTATGTCTTGATGATGCTCTAAATTTACATTTTGACAAAAAACAATACTCTCACTAACTGCTCAGATTTTACCCTCTTTCCAGATTTGTATTACCCTTTGTATGTAAGATTTGTTGCCTTTCCTAAATCTCTCACACAGAAATTTTACAGTTGCAGTTTTACTAAAATTAAGCACACAGCGATTTCCAGCGTCAGAAGCTGATTCTGGTGAAAGACTTTGGGCAAGGCTTTGGCCCAAGGTACCCAGCTGGTACAAGGCCACTGCAAGGTCCCTTCGGAGAGCAGTGCCACCGCTTCACCTGAGGGCAGCCTGCGGCCAAGCATGTTCCAGAGAGCTGGCCAGGACACACGTCCCAGGGAAGGCCTCCTCCCCTTCCTCCCCTTCCTCTTGCTTCCTCCCCTTCCTCCCTGGCCATCCAGCTTGGCTGCCCAGGGGCCATGGCTGAGCGCAGGGCTGGGGCGCGGGGGATGCCCAGGAGACCTCCTCTGGCCGCTCAGCCTGGACAGCCCTGGCCTCGCGCCCTCTGCCCTGCTGGGACCTGCACACCAGCTCGGTAGGGAATTGCAGTAGGTCCTTTGACCTCCTTCTGTGATTCTCAGCAGAAAAAAACCACTAACAAATATGATCACTTTAGACTCCTCCTGCTTTCCCTTGGGCTAACAGCAGAGGTTCCCTCATAGTGCCAGTGCATCAGCGGTGTGAGTCCACACCAGCACTGTGAGATGCCATTTCTGACGCAGGTCCGGGAACGCTCAGGCACACTCTTCCCTTTGAGACTGGCTGCATGCAAGGCCTGGGTTATGTGGCTCCTGCCCCAGGAAAGCAGCAAGCAAAGCAGTAAAAGGAAAAACATACATAAAAGTCAGGGCTCTGCAGTTCCCAGCACTGAGCTGTAGAGGCTGGGCTCTGTGGTTGCGTTTTTCAAAGGCTAAAAAGAATAAATCTTCCTGAATATAAAGGATATGGCGCAGTGTGAGTCCCTGGGGGTTCTGAGGCAGCAGTGGGCCTTCATGAGGGGAAATCCAGCTCTACGGGGACTGGCATGGATATCAGTGTGGGTCTAGGGAGAATACATTGAAATTCAGCACAGCCCTCTGCTGCCCGGCTGTGTGACGCACTGGGGATATTTGGCAGATCCTCCTGTATTAGCCCGTTTCTCTTCCTGTTGTGTCTGAATGAATAGCCATTCTGCTTAATTTAACCTATTTTTTCTTAAGTTCATACTCTGACTATTTACTCTAAAGCTAGATCTGAGTAGTATTTGTATAACTACAATTTTTCAGTATATTCCAGCAATGTTGATTCATTTGTGAATTCTTGGCAAGACTTTTATTTATGAAAAACCCCCAGTGTATTTATAGTTGTACAACATTAATGTGTTTTTTGCCATCATCATAACTTATTTTGCTCTACCTGGCAATATGAATGTAAAAAGTGATGTTTTGTTATAAATTATATCTGCACCAAGACAAATTATTGCAATTGCTTCATTCATTTAGATACAGGTATGCATTAAAGAGGAGGCAAATTGCTAAAAGACTCTCCTAATATAATATAACCTCCTCTATATACAAAATCAGTCTAGTAAACAGTTTAGGCTAGCACATCAGTAGAAGTCTGTTGCTGAAACCTGTATTGCATATTTTTTCCAGCATGGTAAGAGATCCGTTCCCAATTTCCCATGCTTTACATTGCAATCCTTAACACAGTACGTTCCATAATGAACAGCATAAGTACAGTAGCTCAATGCCAGATTCCACTACCAGGCACCACCCTAAATAGAGTTAAAATACCACAAATTCAAAGAAACCTTGGAAGAATTTAACAGCAAATACTATTCCAGTAAGTGATTCTTTTTCTGTCATGTAAATATGTTACTTTTTGAGTCTTTTCTTTAATTGAAACGCAGGAATGTGATAACATTCCGTGCGACAAATGGCTTCAACATATCACATAAATAGAAAATTTTGTCAGTATTTCTTTGAAACTGCGTGCTTTTGAAACATAGTTTAATATTGTTTTTATCCATACAGGTGTGTCTCGAGCTCCATATGTCATTTTATTGTTACCTAGTATTTCCAAACTCTGGTCAGGACAATCTGAATAAAACAAAATTAATGCCTTCCCCTTCTAAATCTGAACTGGTCTTTCTGTGGATAAGCCTTATTAACTTAAGTGTTTCCATTTACACCAGATTTTCTGATTGCAGTCAAGACTGAAAGTGGAACTTCAGAATAAATAAGATATTTCAGAGAAATGTCACTGTATCAAGGCACTTTATGAATCAAATAAGATTTGTTAACTTCTTTTAGATATCAAAGTATCACTATTCTTATTGTTGGACCTAAGATGACAAGATTTCAAGAAAATTTTTGCCTGTTCTTGAAACCCACATATATTCAGATACCCAACAGAAGATAAAGATCAAGATATTAGATGATTATTAAATCATATACTTGGGAGAAAAAATATGTATTTTTAAATTTTTTTAATAAAAACTAATATGTGAAACACTGGAGCATTGATATTGACAGAATAGATATTACATTTATAATTATCAATGTGATCTAGTGTAATTTTTATTTTCTTATCACCCAGACAACCTGGAATGCCATCCTCCACATATGAAGAATACACCAAAATACGGCTTTCTTTTCTAAAGCTAGCAGTAATTTCTCTGAAAAATGTGCTTGCTCTGCACAGTCTTACATCCAATTGGTCAGTCCAAAAGCCTTCAAAATCTTATTTTCTTTGCTATGAGGGAAAACTCTTATTGACCTATTTATAAAATAAATTATTATAAATATAATAGGCATTTCACCAAACTTTTTTTGCTGTACAATATTGGGTTTCTTGCTGTACTTGGTGGAAAAAATCTCATTGCTATCCCACCAGGAATCTGATGATGTAAAGTGCAAAATACCCTTGCTATGAATAAAAATATTATTAATAATTACTAGAATTCTATCTCCTTCATTAATGCAAAAATCTCCTTCCTAAAGAGTGGAGTAATTTCATGAGTTATTGTCACTATGGTCACATTGTTGTCCTCTGTGGAGACATATTTTTCAGCATGGGGTGGTGTGGCTGAGCATTACTTTCATTGAGCATTCTATGGCCAGTTAGTGTCTTGAGTTGTTTAAGTAATTTTTATGTTTTTAAAAACTAAAACAACCGGCCAAACCCATGGACAGACAAACAAAAATCCTTGTGCTTCTTTTGGCTCTGACTGTCATTTCCTGCCAATACTCCACCCGATCTTTAGAACGTTTCATGGTACCCTATGCTTTCTCCGCAGTTATCTGTGAAGGCAACGATGAGGTTTTGTCACCAGGTGGAGCTTGAAGCTCCAGTCCTCAAGTCCTCTGCCTCATTTCCTGCCTTCAGCAGGGAGTTCCTCAACCTTTCCAATCCCGTAGCTAGGCAACTTCAAAACCTTTGGAGGTAAATTTGGTTGTATAATCTGTTGTATGTTATAAGCATTCCTATTAGAAGCACTTTTTTTACATATTGAGTCATGTTTGCTGAGGCTGAAATTGGTTAGTAATCAAAGGAAAAAGAATAAAGACTTTCCACATGTGGGCCTGCAGTGTAACTTCTGCAACAAATTGCTCCATGTTTGGCTCTTTGAAAGCTCTACCAGAAAAAGCAGACTGATTGCGAACTAAATATGACAGTGCTGCTAACAGAATGCTATTTTATATTATTGTTGGGCTCTGGATGTTCATCACCAAAATCAGTACTCTCATGTGCTAATAGACTGGTAAATAAAATGGCTGTGCATCAACACCGAGCGGCCCAAGCTGGGGACTCATCAAATCAACACCAGCAGTCCTTATATCCTAATATATTTCATCTGCAGTAAAGAAATACTTCCTTCATGCTACAGGCTGTGCCAGTGGAGAATGCTCTTGGAAATATGCAGCCTTATATATGGTAGAGTCCCATTTACTGTTCTGGTACAACACGGAGTAGAGGAGGAGCTGCCTCATACTAGGGGCGTGCTCTGGTGTGGGAATAGTTTGACCTCACTAGGGAATCAGGAAATCTCTCCTGATTAGACCCTGAGATTATCTCCATTGATTAAAACTTGGTGCTATTGGTGCCAAGGTCACAGGTTTGATCCGGGTATGAGCCATTCACTTAAGAGTTGGACTCAACAATCCTCTGGGTCCCTTCCAAACTTGGAATACTCTGTGATTACTGTTCTTAATTTGTGCCTCTTAGAGGTAGGCTGATTTTTCTGATATCTTACTATTACTGGACAGACAATGAAACTTTTTTAAAAGAACAAATTATATTCATGGCAGTAAATAAGCTGCAGTGGTAAGATTAGGACTTTAACCCAGAAAGTCCTGGCTGCGCACTATTGCCAGGGAAGGCTTCTCCAAGCAGGCTCCAGAAGGAACACATTCAATGCAAAGGGCAGAAGCTGACTAGCACAGAGCAGAAAGCATCCCATGAACATGGAGATGATCAAATGATCAAAAAAATTTCTCAGATAAAAGCATGAATGCTTAACTATTTGTGTCAAAGTTGATACTTTAGCCTGACAAATAGATTGAACTATTCAGAAAAACTTGACAATAAGTAGATGTAGATATGGAAATGTGAAAATAGTGCCAAGAATTATACATGGTTTATGTAAGCATTTGGGGTCATATTGTTGTACAACAAAAATATTGCAGCAGTCAAGTTTGTAATTAAAAGGTTTATGTCTAATAAAAACTGACCTGAAAAGGAAGCAGCTCAAGTTACCAGGCAACAATTTGCAATGGATCAAGGAAAAACTAGATAGTCCCTATCTCTAGGGAGGAAGCTCTGCTGATCTGGCAACAGATAAATTATTCTCCGTGCTCTTTTATAATCTTTGACCCCTCCCTGGGTCCTGTCAACCATTATTTCAATTAAAGTAAGAAGCACTTCTTGCAGTCAGAATAAGATGTATGTTCTCCAAAACTTTTAGTCTGTTTTTGAAACATCAATGTTCACATGCTCTTTTCTGCGCATGCATTTTAGAAACTTTAGACAAGTTAGTGTGATTGCAGAGCAAAATTTCACCATGACTTATTTATCTAATTTACTGGTTGAAATAATGTAAATTTTGCATAACAAATGAGGCCTGTACTGTGTGAGTTTGTTCTTTTGGCATATGGTGTACTTATATGCAGGTTTTCCTTTGACATCTAAGGTCCATGGATGACAATGCTCTCAAGATTGTACTTATGATTTGGACTTTCAGCTTTCTGTACTCTCTACTCTCAAATGATATCAATGACAGCCCTGACCATAACTGGGCTGCTATTAATTGTGACAAGGAGAGTGCAAATTGAATCATTAAGCAGTAGATGTTCTCACATTTTAAAGAATAAATATTCTGTGTTTTAGGAAATATTTTAATTGTAAAAATCCAAAGGTATCAGTATATTTGAGTGCCTAAAACTCTTCCACTTTGAAAAAGAACAATTACTTTTGAAGTTAGTTTGAAGACTATTAATGTAGTTGGTCCCTTATATAAGTCAAGAATAGTACATACAGCAAAATTCAGGCACATTAAATTATGTATAAAGAGGATTGATTTTCTGAAAGTTAGTCCTGACTTATAGACAAAGTCAAAAGCTTTTCGAACAATTCTTTATAACTCCATGGGTTTATCCACTTCTGCTTTCAGCACTTTTCCCATCTCTCTGTGGACAGAATAGATTGTCTTTGCGTTTGAACGCAGAAGGAGGTATGTATAGGTGCTTAACATAAACTTAATAACTTCTCTTATTTTATCACTTGACACTTGGCAGCTGAGTTTCTGTTGTTTCTTGAATATGTTGAAAGAATCTTAATGCCACTTATTGGTAAGCGTGTGCCTGAATTGCTTGAATATGTAGTACACTCATTTTAATCAATTATGAATATAGCTGTACTAGAATGCTGGTCACTAAATTTGGGAACACAATTTTCAGCGCTTCACAGTTAAGTATGAAAATATTTATTGTTCAGAGAGTAAATGGAAGTTGATGCATTTTGTTCATGCTGCTAATAAAGTCACTTATTAAATATGTTGAAAAGATATATTAGCAAAGATATGAAATATCTCTTTTGGAGGGACAGAATTTGATAACATAGCAGCGTGTGTCTCAGATCCTGCTGGGAGGCTGGTGGAGGCACCTCTTCACTCTAGTCTTGGTACTCAGATTTTGGTTGAGTTCTTTTTGTATAAACTTTGCACATTTCATGCAAAAACTAAGGTGAGACCTTCTTTTCTTTTATCCTATGTAGTCTTTTCCCTATTCTGAGATTTTCTGTAAACTAACACTTTAGCATGAATGGGAAGTCTTTAAGATTAGAAGAAGACTTTCAGTACCTCCAGTCTGAAGTCCTAGAGTCTCTGCTTCCTACCTCGATTTCCTCTCATTTCACAGTTCTCTCATCTTTGCTATTTTTCCTTTGGAAAGACTAGCTACTTTTTCAGTTTAATTAATTGACAAATCCACAGGTTTAGTTCTTACATTTGCACTTATTGTTTTAATTTTCTCCCTGTCACCTTTACAACCCCTCACAAGAACAAAATGCAAAATTACCTTTCTCCTTCTTTGGCCTAGCTTCTCACCACAGTCTTTGTACACTTTCATCTTTTTCTCTCTTGTGAAGAAATATAAGTCTGATACCTGATTGTTTTCCAGTTTCTCCATGCAGCTCACTGCATGCATCCCATCTCCTTCCCATCCTTATTTATCCCTTTCTCAGTTCCTCATACAGAATATACTTATATGTATAGTTTCCATTTTAAAAACTGCTTTATTTCTAGTTGCCTCTATAACTGCTTGCTGTCTTTCATCCCCTATTGCTAAGATCAACAAATATTCATTTAGGGTATCTAAACAATTAAAGACTTGGACTTTTTCTTCCAGTTCTGTGCTAGATGTTCTCCAACTTCTTGCCACGTTCTGGTATAAGTGTATGCTTGCAAGGCATACTTCACATGCTCTCACCAACAGCCTTTTAAGAATTCCATTTCTTTTCTCACTTTGGACATTGACTAATGGCAGTCTAATGCAGAAGCACAAATTCAGTTAATTTATTTCACTGATGCTTTGTACCGATTATCTGCATTTAGCTAACTACAAATTTACTTCATATACAAACTAAAATTTATGTATCTGTAGAAGGTCATCTCAAGCTCAATATGAACAAACCAGAGTTTATTAGTCTTTCCCCAAAGCCTTCCTTACTTCATAATTCATCCTGAGCAATATCACATCATGCCTGTTCAAGCTGTCAGCCTGCATATTTTTTGCAATTCTGACCTCTAATAAGGTTTCATATTAGTTCAGTGCTTCAGTTTTCTTCATTATTTCTGTACCATTAAAATAATTCTGTCCATTTACACAGTAAAGGCCCCTATTCCCATCTTATTGTATTCCTTTTTTTGCTTGCAGGCAACTCTTTCCTATGCTGTTTTTTTTTCAGATGAGCACCTACACAGAATGTTTCTGCAAAATCATTTTCCTAGTTCAGTACTTGGACATGCCTAAGCTTCTGTACTAACTCAAATAATTTGCATGCAGTTTTCAAGCTCATTATAAATTCTCCCTTACTACCTGAGAATTTGGAATCCTGCTCTTAAACTGGTCCACAACATTAGCTTCATTTGACTGAGAACCTTAACATTTGACAGAGAACCATTTATAACATTCTTACTTCTTATACCTCATGCAGTTCCTCATACTTAAAAGGAAGTCCCCATGGCCATCCAAATATGGTCATATATGCTAATATATCATCCTCTTTCAAAACTAGAAAATGTGGGATGTGATTCAGTGGCTGAAACTACCAGCTGTCTTGGTGAATAATACTGTCTCATTTCACTTTCTCTTTTTTATCTTTTCATTCTAAGCTGGAGAAATGTATTGTTTTGAGTTTGTGTTTGAACAGCATCAAGCACAACTGGATATGATCTTGAACCAGGACTCTTCCACATGACACCAATATAAATAAATAGTTGTGGTGTTATTTTTTTATGCCAGAAAGTAGTCTCAAGCCTAATTCCTTGTCCTTGTGGGGAGCTATGTGCAATAAATAGACATGTGAAAACGGGAGAGTTTGAAAAATAAATGGCTTAGGAAAGAGATTTTTTCCAGAGAAATCAGAAGGAGAAGCATTGATTTTGTTTTGTTTTTATATCTGTATTCTGCATGTTTGAAATTGCAAGGCTACAGAGGAAGTCTAGCTTCCTTTATATTTCCTGTTAAGCTGATACCTCAAAGTGCATAGAGCAGCAGGCCTGACCAAGCAAAAGACAGTGAAATGAACCCTTTCTGGTGATAAACATTACAAGCTTTATCCTTTCCAAAACTAATATTTAGACTGATTTATTGTCTTCTGAAGTTTTATATATATTTTTTAATGTATTCATATTACTATGATTATTAAATCACACTGTTAAAAGTTTATTTCATAAACCAAATTTTGTATTTATATTGGCAAATATAAATATACACAGATTTGATTCTGAAATGAATGAATACTGACAAGCTCATTTAGACTGACTATCTTATAATCGGTATAATCAATCATTTTGAAAAAAATCACATACTCAATGAGCTACATATGAATTACGGACCACCAACTATTCACAAAAATCCACAGTAAAATTTCAAGTGATGAATACTATCTGAAATTGCAACTTATCTACAAACCAAGAAAGTCTGAGACTGAATGTGTGCATATCTGTGTGTGCTTTTATTGTTTACATAAATCCTTGCTTATGAGGTTGTATTTATGAGTGATAAGAATCTCAACACTACTTTCCAGGTGTATCTAAGCATGTCATCTTATGTCATAATATGTTAAAGACTCCTATTTTAATGGTTCTAAATATGGAAAATGAATATTTGATTCTTTTGTATTTATATATTTATCTGTGATTTCGGGGAAGTCTAAATTAATTTACTTTTCTCCACAAAGGGACAAAAATAAAAAGTGCTCATATCATTCTCTTGGCAAGTTTCTGTGTCAGAGCTGCCCAAAATACGTACCGCATTCCCTATAATTTACATGGTTAGCATATTTATTTTAGAAAAACTTTACACTTGTTAGTCA